CGCGCGCCTGGCCGAGCTGCGCCTGCGCCTGCAGTCGCTGCGCAAGCTGTGCTCGGTGTACGCGCTGAAGCTGGGCGCGGCGCTGGCCCGGCGCCCCGCCGCCAGCACCCACGCCCTGGCCGCCGCCGCCGCCACGCTGGCCCCGCAGGTACCGGCCTCACTCTACCAACCGCTCTAGTGCACAAAGACATTACCCAAATTGACACCAAAATTACTTACATTTTAAAACCAATAAACAATAAACAATAATATCATAATGCCTTTGTACACTAAAGCAAACAATAAAATCACTAGAATAAAAACTCCAAAACAAATTACAATGATCAAATACAAGAAGTCAATCTGTAACATTTATTCCGCATCACCCACGCTTCCCCCGCCATAGCACAGTAATGGCAGACACCGAGCAAGCTTCGATTTTATTAGAACACAACAAGTAACATGTAACACGAACAGTAACAGTAACGCGTAACACTGCAACAGTTACTGTAACAAGTTTACTGACAACCGATATAGATATAGCAAGCGATTGAATAGAACTGTTGAAATTGATGATAAACAAGAACAAATAGTATTATTTTTTGACATGAAACAAATTGTACTGATGGCAAACATTTCGACACATTGTAGCAGAATCTAAATTAGACAGTTTTTACCAAAGAAGTAATGAATTATCAAGCACATTTTTGAAGAAAAACGCCTCAAATGTTAGCCATCATTGCAGTGTTTGTAAGTAAGTAGGTACATCCCACTATGTAGTCGCTTCGCACCGTATGTTGACGTATTTTGTCGTCCGTAGCTAATGGAGGAGGACGAGGACGAGCTCTCCGGGCTGACACTGCCGCCGCTCGACGAGACGCAGTAAGTACCGAATACCAAGCATAGACTTATAGTACTGAGTGATTACAATGCCTAACCACCTCTTTATGTTGCGTAACAAGTTTTCCAAAGTAGTTACAAGTTAGTTTTATCTATTAATTTGTTAGTTATTTTACCTGAAACTGTTATTAATTCTGTCTTATTTCCATCTACTTCTTCTTCTTTCTTCTTTCAAAAATATTAATGATTATAAAAAGACCAATATTTTACAAATACGGAATTGTAATAACAATTTATGAAAAATCGATTACATTTTTCCACATTACTATTAATATTCTGTAATAAATGAATAAACCAAAAGGTTTCAAAGATCCAGTTTAAAAAGGTTATTATATTAAACACCAGCACATTAAGATACAAAACTATACATTCTTTCAAAATCATTTTGAGTATTAATGATGGATGGCTAACAGCTGTTGCATTTACAACGTAATGAAACATTTGGGTAGCTTGATGAGCTGGTGTCAACACAAATCAAAAGCGCAATAAAACTAACAAATTGATGTATCTACTTACCAGACCGGTGGTTGAAGAAGAAGAAGAGAACGGGGAAGACGGCGCGTTGTTCGGCATGGGCCGCAGCCTGCGCTTCGTCTGCCGCGTGGCGCGCGCGTCGCTTCCCTTCCAGGCGCTGCTGCTGCTGCTGCTGGGCGCGGCGGCGCTGGCCCCGCAGGCCGGGCCCGACTGTCGCGCCCGGCCCCTGCTGGACCCCGTCCTGCGCTACCCCGACGGACCACCCCCACTATGAGCCCAACATTCCCACATCTAAACATTCGCATCCGCGCTACGTTACTTAATTATTAGCTAGTAAGGACTGTTTATAAAACGTCGAAAATAAAGCCTTTGCATTGATTCATATTCTGCTTTTATTTACATTTCATTATGTACAAATTTTTATAAAATAATGTCAACGGATAGTTCCTTTAGCCTTTACACTTCACTGTTCAGTCTCAACCAATATATCACTGATCACTGATGCAATTCAGTTCTTTGAACAACTTCATAAGAGTACAGTACACACAAGATTCACTTTCACAAGTTTTGAAATAGTCAGACATAATATGATTAAGGCCTGGAACAAATTGTAAATAAATCTGAATGAGTGGTATCTGACAACAATACTTTTGCTAAACTAGACTAGTCAACTACGGAGCCGACTAAACTAGACTGGAAACCAGTGAACTCGATACCTGCAATCTGTACTAACAGAATACAACAGCCGTTTTAATATAATAATATTGTTGTGATGAAAAAGTGTGTGGCATGTATTTAACGTAACATCCACTTCTTCCCCAGTTACGTTACGAGTCCTATATAAAAGAAGATGATAGTATCATCCTCTTACATGGACGTTATAATGTACTAGCAGTCGCCCACGACATCGTCCGTGTAGAATATAATTCCTGTTTTATTCCATTGGTGCATTTAACTCGTCGAGTACCGGTTTTGTAGACACAATTATAGAACAATAGGTTGCGGTCACCGGTGACCGCTTGGTGTTTGACAGTTTAATCAGGGTAAAATATATCCTAACACCTAAGTCAGCCCATACCTTCCCTGTATACCAAATTTCAACAAAAATCGTTCAGTAGTTTCAGCGTGATTGACGGAAAATCCAAATAAAGAATCTTTCAGATTCATAATATTAGTGTGATCTATACATATAATAAAATCGTAGGAATGTGAAGACTGTACATTGTTTTTTTTAAAAAAAGAATTCTTGGGTCGTGATCTACCATCGATACCGAAGCCAAAAATATGGTTTTTAGAATGTTTGTCTGTTTGTCTGTATGTATGTCCGGGGTTAACTTAAAAAGTGCTGCATGGATTTACTTAAAATTTTGCATGAGTATTACTAATAGGTCAAGTCAACATGTAGGCTACATATTATTATGCTATCAACTACGGAGGAAGAGTTGTGAATCACTATTCCAAAGTCGCGGGCTCAGCTAGTCTATAATATGACAAGATATTAAATTATATAGGGTCAAAAACGTCAACAAGTAGATATAGAAAACAAGCCACTTACTAAGACAGGTACGGGTAGCTGTTCCGGGCATGTGTCCTGCAGTGCCGCCTGCGGCCGCGGCGCGAGTAGTGCGCGCAGTAGCTCGGCCCGGCCGCCGGCTCCGGGACTATGCCCGCGCTTGTACTCGAACATGCTAGGAGCTCCTCTTCTCGGCTCGATGTCGTGCGCTGGGGGCAAAAGAGATACGAAACTTATTTATTCGATAAATATGCAAATGAGCACAGCCTTCTTTCTACTAACAAGGAAAAAAATATTACCATGCTTACAAACGAAATGGCTGATCTGACGTATTATATTTAAAAACAAGGAAAAAATAGACATTGGATTTTCGCACAATGTTTTTTTTTACTTTTCTACTGCTGCTTTGACTCTTCGTTGGTCAAGTGGTTGCAAGAACGACTGTCTGACTGTGTGGAAAAGGGGTTTCGGGTTCGATTCCCGGGTCGGGCAAAATATTACTGGGTTTTAAAAACATCTCAGTAGTAGTACGGAGTCTGGAATTGTGCCTGGTATTTGGTAATAGACTCACCCCCGATTAGCTCCTACAGATTCTGCTAGTAAAGAAAACATATTAGGTAGTACTAGAATACGTACCTGTAGTTGTAGCGGCAGTCTCCCAAAGAGTACGCCTCGACCAGTCCCACTACAGTCCCCGCGCAGCACGGCCTCGCGGGCACTCGTACGGAGGAGCTGGGTTAGCACTACTATTAGGATCTGGAATAACATATTCAATATTACACTTAAAAAGTTGAGGGGTAGGTAGTAAGTAGTCCTGTACCTATTTATTGTCCTTAATTTCGTCACTTATCTTAAGCGAAAAAACAGAATATTTAAACCGAAATCTTGTGGAATGTATGAAGTCGTAAATAATATGAAAAAGAAAAACTTATAGCTTGTACCAGGTTTCGCCCGCATTAAGGAATAGCCTATGTGCTGTTCTAGAGTTTAGACATTGATAATAATAATCTATCAGATCATTTTAGTAATTTTTCATGCAATAATTAATTAGATACTGACTTGGAACAAGAAGACGAGCATGTTAAAGCACTGCAGTGCGAGTAGTGCGCGAGTGAGTGGGGCCCGCACGGCCTCCACGCAGCCGCGCGTGTGCAGCGACGCCGACAGTAGCGGGGACGACTCCGACCATACCTCGCGCCACTCCGACTGGACACACGCAAATTTCAAATTAGAGCATAATTGCTATCTATTAAATGTGAGCATTTTTATACCAATAAACCAATCTTGGAAGAATAATATAAATAAATATTCCGAGATACCAATCTTGGAAGCTATTTCAAGCCCATGAATACAATATTAAAGAAGTTCGTAACAATCGTTTTAGGTGGCGCTCTCTTCAGTTTTAGCCTACCTCCATGGGACAAACATGATATGATAAAGAATATAATATCGATAGGATCTAGGATCTACCTACTAAAGTTCCATAGGCCTGCGAAAGTCGAAGTCAAAAGTAAAAGAGGCAAAATATTCTTAAAATACCACGGTGGTTGAAGATGCCTGCTTCTCATGCACGAAGGTGCGGGTTCGAAACCTACCAACGGCAAGTACCAATGTAACTTTTTCCGAGTTATATGTACTTTCTAAGATTATTTAGACACCACTGACAAACGGTGATGGAAAACATCGTGAGGAAACCTGGGCTTATAATTTCTAATTATAAGTTTGAAATCGCCAACCCGCATTGAGCAAACGTGGTGATTAATGCTCAAACCTCCGTGTGAGAAGAGGCCTTCGGTAAGCAGTGGGCATTTATAAGATGTTGATGATGATGATGATAAAGAGTTTCACAGTTGTAACATTATCTAATAACCATTAGGTAGATAATGTTACAACGAATGATAATACAAAACAATAATTAGAAGTAGAAGCGTTACCTGTTGTAAAGGGTCGTGGTAGCACGGAGCAAGTACACGCGGCGTACAACAAGAGTACGGGGATACAGGGGGCAGCACTTTACCATCTGCTCCCGCTAACCTATAGAATATATTTCATTGAGAATAATACATAAACACTTTTGTTTCAGAGAATTCTGTACACAAGTTTTTCTACCGTTTTCACAGATAGAGATAAATTGAAAAACAGAGGATTGTCACACTGAGAATTTTAAAATTGAAAAATCTAACATCAGTTTCCCTCACTTTCGAATGGAACTCACACTTCGAGTCAGTGATCTCTTACGCAATATTATAAAAAATAATCGAAATGAATCGAACTCACTTCATGACCAACTCAGATCCTTCATTTAAGAAGTCCATGTTGATCCAGGGTATCTCGTGCCAGTCTGTAGGCTTGTCCGCTCCACAGCAACTTAGTTCCACCTAGGAGTAGGCGAAGACCATTAAAAATACATACGACCGTCAAGAATGGCATGTTTCGAGGCCTCGGGAAGATCCCGCCTTATGATAGACCAGCACTTACTTACCTGTTTTTTGACTCACTGCCCGCCCCTCCCCTTAAATGTATTTGTAAATAGGAATAGTTATCAAACTAACCTGCATTGTATCCATGAGTGCCTTCCAAGTCGGTTCCGTCAAATACTGCGAGATACCGATACGTAGCGATGATGATAACTCCTTCATCAGAGCCTGATAAAATGTAAAAGAATCGTTTATAAGTCGAATAATAAGTAAGTAACGCGTAGCATGGCGTAACAACGTATAGCATGTCGTAACAATGCGTAGTTAGCAAGTAGTTAGTACAACGGCGTAGCAAAACGTAAAAAGCCGTAACTTCGCGTAGCAGTGTGTAGATATGCGTAGTAGCATGTAGTTAGACGTAGCAGTGCAGAGTTAGGCGTAGCAGTGCATTAACTAGGCATAGTAGAGCATAGCATATACATTGCATTACAATAAATGATTAACATATCATGCGTTACGTCGTAATAAAATGGTATCACAACAATAAATATGGCGATTAGTAGGTTTCACAATAATATTTTAATCTTATATGTCGGAATACTCAAACGCTACCCAATTTTAAGTCGCGCTTAAGTATAGTTCTGTCTCTACAAATTCTTTGTAAAATGACAGAGATGGCACGATATTTAAGCACGACTTAAAATTGAGTAACGTTTCAGTATTCCGGCAATAGAGAAACAATCTATATAGAAAACCAAACCTTACCTTTAGAGTTCCCCTGCAGGCAGCATACACGAGCATCCCGTTGGCGGCGACCAGCGAGCCGCTGAGCAGCCACACGCTGCTGACGAGTGTCGCTCGCTTCCAGTGAGGACACTTCAGTAGCACCGCTATGAGGCGCAGTCCTCCAGTATAGTGGAGCTTCATACCGTACGCTTGGAAGAGGATCAGTCCGTACAGGAGGAGGACTGTTACCTAAATAGTGGAGAAAAGTGATCTTAATGAAAGTTGTCATAAATCGTTATTTAACTCGTCGAGTACCGGTTTTGTAGATACAATTATAGAACAATAGGTTGCGGTCACCGGTGACCGCTTGGTGTTTGACAGTTTAAGTTCATCTTGGCATACAACTAGCTACGTGACACAAACATGCAAACCAACGTGGTTTACGTACGTATGGAGTACGTACCCAGATATTTAAAAAAAATACCTACAGACCTACTAATCACAAAGAAGGCTGTCTCTGTTCCATTTAGCGCATAACTCCCAAAGAAAATCAATCAAAGCAAGCCCTGCGCACTTAGGACTATAAGTTAAGAATTAAGGGCAGCCGATAGCACTTTAACCCTTAAGTCCTTTTTTTATGGCATAAGCCGATAAACGAGCAGACGGATCACCTGATGGTTAGCAATCGGCGTCACCCATGGACACCTGGAACACCAGAGGCGTTACAAGTGCGTTACCGGCTTTTTGGAGATTAGGAGTTTGAGGATCATTGGGGATTCAGGGATTGGGGAGATTGGGGAAGGGAGGGGGGTGGGGGGGTAATTGGGCCTCCGGTAACCTTACTCACACGACGAAACACAACGCAAGCGTTGCTTCACCACTCCGGTCGAGCCGGCCCATTTGTGCCGAAGCATGGCTCTCCCACACATAAAAAGTCCTTAATCAATTAAAATAAATTACCAACAAATATCAAAGTAAATACTAACTTTATGTATATGCTTAAGCAGCAGCATCACCCGCAGGCTAGTATTGTAGCAGAAGATGACCATGCACAAGGAGACGACGAGCTGAGCGATGAGCAGCGCGCGCAGGACCCCGGCCAGCCGCGCGCGCCCGTCTCTACTGAACGTGAACACGCCCCACGCCATCCAACATTTTGTTGGACCATGCTAGCTGTGTCTGGAGACAATTTTGCATATCAACCTTACGAATTATGATCACCAACAGAAACAATAGATAGTAATCTTGGATTAAAATCTACTTTGTTCGTAGTTGGCGCCAGCATTGGCCAGCCCACCGACTGTTCTCAGGTTTTCGTGTGATCTTGGCGCACTCCACAAACTGCGTTCACACATAGGCGTTCGGCGTCTCATTCAGTTTTTTATCATTCGTCAGTAAAGATAGTACTGTCGCGCCGTAGCGTGAGAGTTGTTGTTCCCGATTTACAATTCATGATCAGTTTATACATATAGAACAGAAGTAGGTACCGAGGTACTTATTAATGCCACTCACCTTTGAAGCACCATAACACAGTAATCACAAACCAACTCGATAGTAATTCAGAACGGTCTACGTTGACCGTTTGTTCAAATGACGGAATTCAAACTTAGCCAATGTCTAAAACTCAACTCGTAGAAATTGAATAACAACAGAATAAGAATCCACTAAAAATAATCTCCACACTTTCAACAACTACAAAGCATGATATCAATGAAATATTTTTGTAAATATTTTTTCCAATTATTCATAGACATTTCACAGATGACGCATGCAATTTGGCATTCGCTGATACACGTTTTCAACCAAAGACTAAAATTGTTTCGTAAAGGTAACAGAAAATAGATTAATTGCAGGCTGCATTTATTCATTTACGAAATCAGCAATCAAGCGTCTATTGCTGAACATAGGCTCCAGTGGCATCCAGATCGGCTGGTTCATATAATAATAAAATTAAGGTAAGTTATTCAATATTGAGTTTTCGCTCAGAACACAGACACCAGTATCCCAGCAATATACATACGGGACGACAGCGTATAAACAAAATTTAAGTCAACCCCAAAGCTATCTTCCCAACATGATTACGTCCCATGACGTTACCATGCGACCATCCCATGTTAAATCGATATACAAACTCTACGTAATAAATAAGCCATAGTGACTGGCTGCTCACATTTTATTTACAAAAATAATATAAAAACCATACCACCAAAAAGGCGGGAAGTTTCAAAAGCATGTCATTCTATTGTTTTCTTCGGAAAACATGGAATGTCAATAAATATCAATAAATAATAACTTTAACGTAATTTAATTGTTCAATTAAGTTGCCGATTTAGTTAATTACTTAGTGTATTTAGGTGATATTCAAAATGGCGGAGGCAGAAAAAGAAAAGCCGGAGGCTCCGGAGGTTGTGACAATAATGGCCCCTGTTGTAAAACGGCCTAAGATTGCATGGAGCGATGACTTGAGCCACGACTCTGAAGAGGATAGAGGTGACTTTTAATTAATGCTAGCAGACGTTTGTTATGTCAGTTATGAATTAAAACACACTTAACTTTGAGAAGTTAACTTTGTTAATCAATTTCACATTAACCTTTGATTTCTTTCTGAAATATTTTTTGTGATCTTAAAGTTGCAATTATACCTTAATATATAATTATCATTAAGGATGCAGTAGGTACCACATAACTTAAATTATTAAGACTTTGGTACTACAAGGCTAGTAGATTCAACAGACTAGCCTACTAGACACACATGTTTAATTTTTACACCTACACGTAGCACCAATCGTATTGTTGTAAATAGATTCATACAATACCTAACTACTTACACAATACGAGTACTTTTGATATAGTTACGTTCGAAAAGCAGCGACTAGATACATTGGACATAAATCGCCAAATACGTAAAGACAGATCCAAACCTTCCTATACTTACACGTACAAATCTGCCGGCCAGCTTTACTGCTCTAGGTGTGATCAATTTGAAAACTAAAATTCGGTCTGGCCAGTCACATCAAAGCACACGCCAGAAGATAGCTATTAAGGGTCGGCCGAAACCGATAAGGAGAACTATACGAGTACTTTTACCAATTTCCAGAAAAAGAACGTCTAGCTCAGTTGGAGCGTGAACTAGAACAAACGCGCGAACAAAAACCAATCTACGATCCAGAAGAATTAGAGAAGCTTGTAGACTACGTGGTTAGGATGACCACAATATATGACCTTCGCCCTGAAGACTGGACACCAGACACAAGACAGCGCATCGAAGACTGGTTCCTCGAACCGAAGAGCCTCATACTCTCCATATATTTCAAAGGAGAAAAGCTCAAAGCTAGTTTCGATATACCTTTATCCCCTGTGTACGATTTGACGTACTTCATAAGACCTCCTGATTTTGTGTTTAAAGCTGAGACGTTTCACGATGACATCGTCTTCGGGACGTTCAGGGATTCCATTGAGGCGAACGTGATTAATATGATGGAGTATGTGTATGCTCCTTATTTCTTTGCTATTACTGCTTGGCCTGATAGTAAGTACCACGATTTTTTCTAGAAATTTCGTTTCCGAACCCGTTGAGTCTCAGGATAGTAAAAACGATTAGTACACTATCCGTTTAGCAACACTTATGATGTAAATCTAAATGGTTACAGTAAAATCTACTGAAAATAATATTTTCAACACAAAATGCAATATTATGTGGCTTTACCATTTCTTCCAGGCGTCAAAAGCGAGTTCTGCACCCACATACACACGTTCCTTGCTAAGCTAACCGACATGTACTATAAAATGTTAGGTCTAACTGTCCTATACATACCCCGAGAAGGTCAACACTTGTCTTTTGAACAAGCCAGTGCAGATCGAGAGCTGGTGAAAAGGCTTGAAGGTGTAGTCGTCTACTGGACGCATCAGATCAAGTCTTGTTTGGAAGACACGGCCTTTGTAGCTTCGCAGAGAGAATTGCTGTGTCCTAGCGATGAATATGACTTCTGGATTTATAGACGTGAGTATCATTCTAATTTCAGGTAGAGAAAGAACCTTGTAGTCTTCACAAATATAACGCTTTATGATTTCTTCTGCAGATGAGAACTTAAACGCCTTACTTCACCAATTAAAAAACCCAGCAGTGAAACACATCACCAAGATCCTCGTCACCACGCATTCCACCTTTATACACCAGTTTCAGTCTCTATGCGAAGACATCGTCCAGAAGGTCAGAGAGGCGACCTCGAACATAGAATACTTACAGGTTATAAAGCAGCCTTGCGCAGTTCTGGAGTGCGTGGTGGACCCTGACGAGATATCGAAGCACATTCCTCATATCATCAACCTATTTCGCTTTATATGGATGGAATCTCCCACTTACAACTCTGAGGTGAGAATCACGAATCTGTTCAAAGCTTTGAGCAACCAGATCATCATTCTCTGCCGGAATTACATCAAGCTGGATGACCTTTTTGACGGTAATACGATTAAGGCATTAGGAGAATTCAGTAAGTGCATCGACTGCTGCAAGAAGTACAGGGAGATTTATGACGTCATGGCAGAGGCTCATAATGAAGAGAATCCTAACAGCTGGGTGTTAGACACCGGGTCTATCTTCAACTATATCGACTCCTTCATTCAGAGGTGCTTCGACATGCTCGATGTTTGCAACTGCATGATTATTTTTGGAAGGTTAGTCTGGACTTTCAAATTATTCATTATTTTCAAACTATTTCTAAATAACGATACCTATGAATCATTTGATATTTTAGAATAAACGAATTCGAAAATATGAACAAGCCATACTTCGGTGGCGCTCGAGGAGATCAGTTTGAAGCTAAATGCGAGAAGATTGAGCGCATGTTCTTTGCAGCGTTGCTAGACGTAAAGGCAGTGGGAAATACTATCTTAGACGTGCAGGCTCCTTCGTGGTATGACGACATACTAGCCTTCAGAACTGTCATCAAGGATATTGAAGTGAGTTTCGAGATAAAATTTGAGAATTGGTGAATTGATGAATACTATTTGTTGAAAGCTTATAATGGGAGTAAAAATCCGTCACATCAACCAGGAAACTAGACCCTCTATGAATGATAATTAATTCTAGTTAAAAAACTAGACACTATAAAACTAATGACAATATTTAAATGTATAGGATAGAATAATTACTAAACTAATACTAAATACTACAGGAAAAGACATTAGTTTCATATTGAAATGTCTTTCGCACTGCAGATCATCATAGAGAACCTCGTAGACACTGTGTTTGAAAGCGTCAACCACGTGGAGGAGGCGGTGGTCGCGCTGTATTCTCTAAACAACTATTCTAAGCGGAAGAACTTGAAGCGAGTTTTCAAGAGGAAGACTTCCGAGGTGACTACTTGCGTATTATACTTATTATCACTGATATAACTAACTAACCAGCTTTAGTAGCGAATGACTCAAGATCAACTATGCAGATTTAGATGACCTCTGGAGAATCAATTAAACTCACTTAGTTAAAACGAGGCGCTAGTGTAAGAATAATACTAAACTTATTACAAACAGATGTGGGCGATGTTCAGTGAAGAGGTCCAGGAGTCCAAGAAGGATATGGTGTCCACACGAAGCCACTACCCAGCTGACATGCCGTCATACGCAGGCAGGGCCTCCGTGCTCAAGATGAGGAAGAATAGACTTGTGTACCTTAAAAATGTGAGTGGGATTTTGTTATGCTTCAGTCTTTTAGCATTGTATGCCTCAATGATTATTTATCTTAGTATTTGGTATCCAGCTGTTGTTAAATACTGTAAATGACCACGGTCACGGTGTTCAAAATGCTCACCAACTCTCCCAAGCAAAACACTTAACAGACTATTTCTACCATAGCATACCATCCCAAACAATTGATGCCACTGAATGAATAGTGTCCAAGATGTTTAAAACCCAACAAACTTGTCAAACAATCTTAAGGTGGTTTCTTCGATAAAGAAACCACCTGCTTGCCCGTAACCGAAATTGCTTGAATATTCTACCGTTCTTTTTATCAAAGTGCCTCTTCAACAGATAATGACAGATGCGTCTGCGTGGCTGCTACCTTGCAGTAGCTCTGAAGATGTGATTATGCACGTGAATAGGCTAATGGGAGCTATTGATGTCGCCATTAGGGAGCTCTGGATAGCCTGGACGGTGAGTAAATGGAGAAACTGTAGGAACTGTTCGTTGGCAACAACATCTCGTGAGGAGATAATTTCTGTCAAGTCCTAACAAGCTATTATGTTTACCAGCACAACTTGGATGAAAAATGTGGCGCAGGGCTGAACAAGACCTTGATGAGGAAGAGTGTAGAGTTTCCTGGACTATTGGAGTGTAACATTGATGTGTAAGTTCATATACCGCATGGAACAAAGACCTTCTGATAAAGGTGATTCCAACCGACCGATCTGTAAGTCATTGAGAGAAACCTATGTTCAGCAATGGCCGTCGAAAAAAATTGCATCAAGACAATCCACTTTGAGCAACTTTTGGCAACAGGACCGAAAGCACTCATATTTAGTTTTTCTTTCTAGGAACATTCTGGAACTGTGCCATGAAGCTGCGCATTGGGAGAACTTGATGATGGACATACCTCTACATGCTTTTCAGGTAAAAGCTACAAAGACCTCTAGTTTTTGGCAGTTGTATGTTAATCTACGAAACACAACGCAAGCGTTGCTTCACGTCGGTTTTCTGTGAGGCCGTGGTATAACTCCGATCGAGCCGGCCCATTCGTGCCGAAGCATGGCTCTCTCCCACTTGGCTTTTTTCTTATTTACATTGCAAGTCCGACCCTAGGCATAAGGCATAGAATTCGCTTTACAACCATGGAGCAATGAGCCAACAGGTACTAATATCAAAAACGCATTCAATATCAGGTTTACTCAAAGAGTTCAACTATAAACTACGTGTACGAGAGCGTATTGGCCGTGGTGAAGGGATACAACAAGATCCTGGACTCTTTGTCTGAAGAGGAGAGGCTGCTGTTCAAACCTCTCATCACGGTAAGCGCAACAATTAGGTACCTACTCACACAAGATGGTCTTGATGGAATAATCTGAATAATTTTAGACGTTGGAAAATAAGTCTATTTGGTTTTATTTGAGTCTAGTCCACCTTATTGAATCGCCTAGAAAGCCAAAGGTTCTTCTTGTTACACTATATATATATATATATATATATTTACATCCTAGAATCTTTTTGGCGTCATGCACGTTGCGCATCATTATGACGTCCCCCAGTTCCACTTAACTTTTTTCATATGTCTTGATGAATATTGCTTAGTTATTCGATTTCCAGCTTCGTAGGATACGTCATTTTTCGATAATTTTATTTTTCACGATATTCTTCTTGCAGTCATGCTGCAACATTTTTGAACCCCAAACAATGGTGATAACAAATTGGAGTCCTACATATATTGATCGTGATTTAACCATGGTATCAGCTACTTAACGTCCCCACAGCGTGGATGGTATTTGCGAGTGCAACGTTGCCAGCTTTGGGTTCACTTGTCTCTTTCTTTTACTCTCTCTTGTCACTCGTCTGGTAGTACAGAGTTTCAACATTATTCCAATATTCGTTAAATCTATCAATACATATTTACTAATGCCCGATAATGATAAAATAATGTTATCTACTAGTAGGTGCCTACTTTATAATTATTATACTACCTATCAATATTGATGGAATGAGCAAGATGAATTAATTGAATTTAATTGGTAGGTACATCAGACAGTGTAAGATAAGATGAAAAAATTTGAGGATCCTGATAAATGACATGGTAATGGCAGGAGTCTCTTGCGGAGGCTGACGAAGGATATGCGCGCGAAGAATGTTTCTTCCTCAGCAGGTATCATGTAAGATCACCTAGCTATCG